GATGGTTGTGAATCACCACTTGGTTGCTGGGAATTGAACTCAGGACCTTTGGAAGAACAGCCAGTGCTCTTAATCTCTTGGGCCATCTCTCCAGCCCCATCTTTCAGGGTTTTTGTACAGCAAAGAGGCTTGGAGGTATCATAGTCTGGAGCAAGAGGAAGATTTGCCTACAAACACAAAGAAGAATTTCTCTTTGGGGTGGGAAGTGGGCAGGTGACTCCTTGTCTCAGCTTCCCTTGTAGTAGGATTACAGGTGGCTGTTCTGCTACCCACCTGGGTGTTCCACAGGCGTTGGGTGACGAGGAAAGCACTTTACCTACTGAACTATCTCCCCAGCCTGCCTTCAACAACTATATCACTGTTAGTTGGCAACTGAATGTAATAGATACTCTACTTATATGGGAACAGGACTATTATTAGAAATATCTAAACCAATTATCATTTGGCCTGAAGACTTCTGTTGACTTCTATATTAAAGATTTTTGAGAAGAATTTTTATAATATTTCTTTTATTTTTTGAGATTAAAATTACAATAGTTTTCATTTCCTTTTCCTCCCTTCAAATTTCCCCATATACCCTCCTTGATCGCTTTCAAATTTGTGGCCTCTTTTAAAGTAATTGCTGTTATATGCATACATATGTATGTATAAACATATATATTCATAAGACAACCTGCTCATTCTATAAAATGTTACTTGTATCTGTGTTTTCAGAGTTGGTCACTTGGTACTAGATAACAGATTGATATACCTGCTCATCCCTGAGGAAGACTACTTCTGGAAAATGATTTTTATATCATAGTTAAATTTATAGTCCTACTCCCACTTATTAAAATTCAGACTGCTATGAGTTATAAATTCTCTCTTATACTGATTCTGGGAGAAACCATGGAATTTTCTTGGTCAATGGGCAGATGAGTATATACTAATTTAATATTTCAAAAATATTACTTAGTCATTGTGGTGGTTTGAATAAAAATGACCCCCATAGGCTCATTTATTTGAATGCTTAGTCAACGGGAAGTAACACTATTTGAGAAGATCAGGAGGAATGACCTTGTTGGAGGAAGGGTGTCACTGGGGGTGGAATTTGAGGTCTCAAAAGCTCGTGTCAGGCCCAGTATCCCACCCCCAATCTATGGATCAAGATGCAGCTCTCAGCTACTGTTCTAGCACAACAGGCCTACTTGTCGCCATACTTCTATAACAGACTAAACCTCTGAGGCTGTAAGCAAGTCCCCAATTAAATTCTTCTTTTATAGGAGTTACCATCGTCATGACATCTCTTCACAGCAGTAGAACGGTGACTAAGACAGTCATTAATCAACTGAAGTAACACAAGAAAATGAGAAAAAAATAAAATAAGGGTCGGGTAAGGTGGTCCAGCTGCCCCTGCAGAGGAACCAAGTTTGGTTCCCAGCACCCACATGGCAGTTTAACTCCAGGTCCAGGGTGTCTAGGCCCCACTTCTGGCCTTCATGGGTGCCAGGCATACATGTAGTAAACTTTACAGGAAGTACACTAATTTACATAAAATAAAACTAATTCTTTTCTTTTAGTTAACTTAAATAATGTATTGTCCGAAGTTCATAATAATAATAATTATTATTAATTATTAACTCCACCTAGTAATTTTTCAGGTTTTGTTCTTGGTTCCCATACAAGAAGTTAAAGAGATTATTGGTTAAGAATCAAAGATGGATAAAATTAGAAGACTCAAGAAGATGAAAATGACACCCTTCAAGGCCATTATAATTGGGGGAGGTTAAACTGGGGACAGTAGGAATGCAGGTACCCTAAGAAGGTGGTCAGTGTGGGAAAGCACTAGCTACAGCAGTAAAGCAAAACAGTAAAGTCACAGAGCAGAATAGAGTCCAGCGTCCATTCTTGACGAACAGAATGAAAACAGAAGTAGAACTCACCCTCAATCTGTGGGGTACCATTTAAGCAACTCTAAGGGAGAAGTCTGTATCTATAAGCACTCTCATTAAAAGATTAGAAAGCTGTCAGTAAATTACTTAATGAAATACCACAGGATATAAGAACATATATAAGAAATAATAAAGATGACTGTAGAAATTAATGAAATGGAAAAAAAAGAAACTATACAAAGAATCAGGGAAGGAACTGAAGAGATGAATTAGTGATTGAGATCAAATACTCCTCCTGCAGAAAACTGGTTTCCAGCACACATATCCAACAGCTGAGAACCATCTCAACTCAAGCCCCAGGAAATAGTCCTTCTCACAATTAAGGAAGCTCTTCTCCAACAGAGACCCACCCCCAGGGGATTCTAGAGTCTGTCAAGTTGGCAGTTAATACAAACAAATTCCCACTAGTAAACACACACAGCTCCAGCTACCTGACTTTTGCCTAAATATACACTGCAGAAGACAACCTCTTTAGTCAATGATTCTGGGAGAATTGGATATACTTATATGAAGCTGCATGCCTCTCCCTCACTCTGTGCAAAAGTCACCCAAAAAACCTTAAGGCCCGAAACTCTGAGGCGGTTAGAAAAAAACAGAGGAAACACTCTATGACACAGATATCATATGTCTGAAAAGGACACCAATTACTCAAAATATTACCAAGAAAATAAGATTTCACTCAATTACAAATCTTCTATATAGCAAAGGAAAAGTTCTGTGAAAAAGCCTACAGAATGAGAGAATATCTTTGCTAGCTATACATCTGACAGAAAGTTAATATCTAGAATATACATAGAATTCAAAACTATGAAAAACACAATAGATAAATGGGCTAATGAGCAGTTCACTTTCAAAAGAGGAATTATAAAATGGCCAATAAACATAAAAACGTTTATGCAAATTAAAATAACTTTGAGATTCCATCTCATCCCAGTCATAAAAACCACCCCCCCCAAAAAAAGAATTGGTATGAAAATTTTTGGGGCTCAGTGTTTAAGAGTGCTGACTGTTCCTGCAGAAAACCTGGGTTCAGTTCCCCCAGTGTAGCTCACAACTATCTTTAATTCCAGTTCCAGAGGACCCAATACCCATGGTAAAATACCAATGTACATAAAATAAAAGTAAATAAATTTATAAAAATTAAATCATTTAAGGTGGGGTTTAATGGTGAATGCCTTTAATCCCCAGTACTCAATGACAGAGGCAGGAGGATCTCTGTGAGTTTAAGGCCAGCTTAGTTTACATAGAGAGTTCCAGGACAGCCAAGACCAAAAAAGGGTCCATGTCTAAATCAAAAACAAGCAAAAATCAATAGCTGGGATGATGTGAGAGAAAGGTAACCCGTACATAAAGCTTGTGGGACTGCAAATTCAGCTAGCCATTACGGCAATTAGAATGGTGTTCCTCGACAATTTAGAAATAGGATATAATCAGCTATACAACTTCTGGACACAGACCCAAAGACTCTAAGTAAACATACCGTACAGAAGCCTGAACATACATTTTTATTGCAGCACTAGTCACAACAACCACATCACAGAACCAACCACGATGTCTCTCAGTGGACATATAAACAAAAAATAAAAATACTGTGTGTGTACACAATGGAGTTTTATTTAGTCATACGAAAGAATGAAATTATCTTATTTGCTAGAAAATGAATAATCACACTGGAGGTTATCATATTAAGCAAAACAAGGCAGAGACAGCAAAACAAATACTCTGTTTTCCCTTATTCATAGGTCCTAGAATTCTTTATAGATGCATAGAACCATATACATAACAGGAAAGCAGAAGGGAAGCCACTGGGAGGAGTAAATGAGAAGGAGAACTAAGGAGGAAGATAAACATGGTGAAAATATGTAATATATTTAAAAGAGACTTCCTTTATGAATACATGAGCAATGAGTACATGCCAATTTAAAAAGAAGAGGAGCAAGAGAAGGAGAAAACACAAAACGGCCCAACAGGTAAAGGACCTTGCAGTATAAATCTGGTAACCTGAATTTGATCTGCAGAGCCCACCTGAAGGAGGGAATCAACTCTACAAAGTTCTCTTCTGATCTGTAATTGCACATCTTGGCATGTACTCCCCCCGCTCATGCATGTACACATAGCAACACACACACAGAAGTAATATTTTTTCTGTGTGTGTGTGGTATGTACACACGTTCACATGTATATGGGCACACGTGTGTGGAGGCCTGACATTGATGTCAGGAATCATCCTCAACCACTCTTCCACTTTATTCCCTTGGGTAACGCCTGTCAATCACACCCGAGCTGCTAGAAATGACTAGTCTCACTAAGCAGCTCGCTCAGGGATCTTTTGTCTCTGCCTTCCGAGGCTGGAAATACAGGCAGGCCACCACTCAGCAGTTACATGAGTTTCGGGGATATGAATTCCATCCAGAACTCATACTTGTACAGCTAAAGCTTATCCACTGAGATATCTCCTCAGAGCCCCAAATCATAAGCCTTCTAAAATTAAAAATTGAAATCAGACATGGATTTCATTTCCAGATATGCAAGTTTAGGGCCATGTTTATTATTTACTTACGTCCTGAATTCTAACAACCTTATCTCTGAGATTCAGTTGCCTTGTACGTGAAAATGACAGCCTTCAACAGCATGGGCGCGCATTTGTCCAAGCTGTTTGTGCGAAGATGAAAATGAACTATAAATACAAAAGACCTCATCCCCTCGAGCTGTATCTCCACACGTCACTCACGGCTGGAGACCAAATTCCAAGTTCCATCCAAAGAGAACCATATCTTCATACGCCACACATGTCACTGCCACGCCATCCGGTGCTCACAAAATGCCACATGCATTAGTCAGATGCAAAGCGGAGGCCCGCTTCCCACTGCGGGCACCCAGCCCAGTCTGGTGAGCGTCCCAGCAGGCCCAAGGACACAAGTCCGTCCAGGAAGGAACGCCGGTTCTCAACGCTTACAGCTCTGCAGAGAACCGTGGAAATGGCTCCCGGCCCAGGAAAGGTCAGGAAATACTGCTGGCCTTTTGTGTTAGCATTACCATCCTCGGACATACACGTCCACCTTTGCTTACCCGGAAGTAGTCGCTGCAGGCCGCCAGGACTGCCTTGTGAGCGTGGAATTTCTGTTCCTCGGCAATCAGGGTCACGTCACAGAGAATGCCATCACTTCTTTGCTGATTCAGTGCTGCGAGGACGGTGTCATTGTGAGATTCTGAGTGGCACAGCCTCTGGCCCGTCAGCATTTCTTGAATGCTACAAAGAGAACAAGGAAGCCCCGTTTATTCCGGTCACCGGCACTGCTTCCTAAGGGGCTCTTTCACCCTTTCGACCTTGGGGAGGGCGCTGAGACTCCTGTGCAGGTGTGAGTTTGACCTTTCTGTTCTCCGTTTTGCCCTCTATGCTTTTGTCTGTCTATTTTCCTTTTCTCTGACTCTTTTTTTTTTTTTTTTTTTTGCCCTGTCCTCAGGCCTCTTTCTATTGTTAGCTCTCCCGTTTCTGAGGTTAAACTTTGTGAGTGTCTACCTGAGTCTGTGGACTTATGAGCCAGCTTCTAATGCCCTATTTCTTTGGTGTGTTTGCATGCAAAACTTGCCTTATGTATGTGTGCAGGTGAGCATACTCCTTGTGTGTGTACCCTCCCCCCCCCGTGTGTGTGTGTGTGTGTGTGTGTGTGTGTGTGTGTGTGTATGCAGGGAGACTCTTCATATTCTATGACTCCCTCTCTAACTCTATCCTTCTCCAGCTTCAGACTTACCAAGTGCCTCTGTAGGATACAAGCCCCCCCCCCCCCAGTAAATATAAGAAAACTGAGTAAATGTTGGTTGGGGACAAAAGAACTGCACTTGGCCATCCCGAATACACAGCAGTCAAACCACAGCTGCCCATGAAACTTGGGGGATTATATGTTGAAAGAAATTAATTTACAATAAATGGAGCATGATAACATAAGCTCATAATCCCAGAACTCAGGAAACTCTGAGGCAAGAGGATCTGAAGATCAAGGTCATCTTTGACTATATAGTAAGTTAGAGGCCAACCTGAGCTACATGAGACCTATCTCCATGAAAAAAAAAAAGTGTCCTTTGTAAATTAAATGGAAAATTAAAAGTTAAAAGCTTAGATCATCAAAAATCTCTCCACATGACTCTAAAATCCCCAAATAGGTGCTGGGCTCTGACTAGAAAGCTGTGTCACTACTGAGTTACTCCCAGAGGGTGACAAGTCCTGTTTCCAAACAGTGGCTGGCCTCTTTTGAAAGCTGAGTGAAAATACCCCAGGACAGCTGAACGTGATCTCTCCATACCTGACCATTCCATGCCCAGCCCCAGCAAGAAAAAAAATATTATTCAGAGAAAACAGCATTGCTGCCAGCCTTGCCCATTTTGTTGGGTTATTTGATGGGACACTGCCTCACTTGGGCCAACTGACTGGTAAATTACAGTTACTATAAACAAGTCGCTACCTAAAATTGACCAACTTCTTCCAGTGAGAAGCCAGTGTAGTCGGTAAGCTTTAGCGAACGTTTCCCATGGGAAGCATCAGAAATGTAAGAACTACGGAGAGAAACTGACTTGACAGAGAGTGAAGCTATAGGAAGCTCTTGTAGGAGGGTGGGAGGATTATTTTCAGTAGAAGGTGGCAGCTGAGTCTGAAACTCTCACAGCCATTGAATATTCATGTGTGGCTCCCGAGATAGGCAGGCTTTTAAAACCAGTAGCTAAAAGTTGCATTTGGAAATATAAATAGGTTTTTAAGGAAATTTCTATGTAAAGCTTAGAATGGAGATTAATTAATGTCATGAAGTAAAAGAAGTGGGGAAAAGAAACAGAAATGCTGTATCAGCAAAGCAGAACAACAGGAGAGACTGAAAAGTTTTTCGTAAAACGATGGCATTTTCATAACTAGCAAACCTGTGTTGTTTACAGTTTTTTAGCCAATTATCCTGCATGATTTATGATTACTAATTATAATTAACAATTCAATTTTCCTACTAATCATAGGAGAGGGTGCTTATTGATACATCTGTTTTATAGATCAGAATACCAAAATTCCAAGATTGTGAATTTTAAAAACCTGACATTAAGAACATAATGATTTTTCCTGCTTTTAAAAGAAGATAATGCGTATGAAAGGTCTCTCCAAAAATTATGATGAAAAAAATTCAGAATCCCCTATCGCTTTTAAGTCATACATAGTTAACCTCAAAATCAACCCTTTAGAGTAATATATGAAAACAAAATGGCATACAATAATCAGAAAACTATGTAACCATGCTTCAAGACCACTTTGTACATACGAGGACTAGAGTTTTGAAACAGAAAATGGATTTCTAATGTTATAACTTTAGAAACTGTATTTGAAACTTTCATAATTTTCTTTCTCCTCTATTATGGCACCATAAATGTATTTTGTAGTGGAACAAGAATATATTAATAATTATTGCCTTAAGACATCTCCCTGCTTGCAAATCTAGCACACGATCGACGTCATTATGGAGACTGCACCAGTATTTGCACTTAGGTACCTGTTGGGAGTGAGTCGATTTTGGCAGGGAAAGAGCAGCTGTGAGCGGCAGTTTGGCAGAGACTAGAGGGTTGCGCTTTAAAACAATACTGATAACTCCTTGGCTCCAAAGACGCAATAACTCAGCTTCGAACAGTCGGGCTTTAGAAACACCATAAGCTGATATTTAAGACAACACTTGGCAGAGGACCCTAAATATTTTAGAACCAATATGTTATGAGTTCTTAAAAGCCAGAAATAAATACTCTGGGATTTGGCAAGAAATAAAGGCCCACGAATCAACAAGTACCAACAAGTCATCGCTGTATTCTCAGAGCAGCTCCCCATTCGTCTCTCTAACAGAAAGCCACAGAAGACCTAGCCTCTGTAAATGTGACGTCACGGCTGCCCACGGCACAGAAGACACCAGGCTCACTACACCTGGGTAGTGATCATACACTGGGAGCACCAGGAATCACAGGCTGCAGTGCGCCACGCTGAGATTAAGGTGCGGAGCAGACGGAGACTTGCCATTAGCTCCCTCTGCCCTTAAAGCAAATGTCAAGTCAGCAAACTCACCTCCCAGGTCAGAGCCATGTCCTTTCACTACTGGGAAACGAAGAAACAGGAAAAGGAAAAGAACTGTTTCAAAAACTTTCCAAAGTCCTGGGAAAATACATGATCAAGGCTCTTCATTTCTCAAGGGGAATACAGACTTGAGAAACGTCTTAAAATTGGGGAGATTCTTCCATGAAAGAAATGGCATCCCTCAAAATTTACAACTAGTACAGACAGTGCTCTGGGTCCCCCAGTGAAACACCAGTTTCCTTTTTCTCTGAGACTCAAGAGCTGCACTACCAAAACAGGAGCCACTGTGTCGCCAAAATAGGCTGTGGACACTCTCTATAGGGTAGCACAAGATGAGGTGAGCTGTTAGTGTAGAGCAGTATTAGATGTAAAAAAAGATAAGAAAAAAGACCCAAATGTCTCATTAATACTTCTATACAGAGCACATATTTTAATTATGATTTTGGACAGTGATTTATATGAAATACAGCACTAAGGTTAACCAGAGCTGTGTCTTTGTTCCTTATTTTAAATGGATCTACTTCAAACAACACATGTTTTTCTACTATGAGCCCCTTTCCAAGCCCACAGTTCACAGGAACACCATATGGGTGCCAGGTGACTCCAGTCAGGCGCCAGGGTGGACACTCACTATTCTTGTATCTCCCAGGGCTGACCCAGGTCCCTGGCACAACAGGAGGAGACATAGACTCTCCCAGCAGCAATTGGTTTCTAGCAATGCCAGGGAGTGAGCATTAGACCGGTCACATGCCAGCATCTAATAATGGGGAGATTGATGCATGCAGTCTCAGGGAACAGGACTCATCGTGACTTTGAGCCTGCAATTTTCATTCTGGAACTGATGACAGAAACTAAGAAATCAAATGCGGAGCACGTTTCTAACCTGCTCATTCTGAATCCCTGCTTCTGTGCAAATGGCTCCTTTGAGTGCACAGAGTTAACGCTCTGATCACAGAAACCCCCAGGGTCTCATTTTCATACATTCATTTAACTGAATTCAGGCAGTTTTTTAAAGACTTAATAAAACAGCTCTACAGTTTTATATTTTACTCTTCAAATTTGAAAATTCTGTGGATTTCTATTTTAATGGTTATCTGCTACTTAGCAATGTCAAAATAGTCTTATACATTAATAAGAAAAGAATGTTGTTTATTGACATGGACAAGTTGTTAAAAGATGCCATAACAGATTTTTCTTATTTTTATATAACACTTTACAAATTTTCTGAAGTGTACGCCAGAAATAAAAATAGCCATAATGATAAGCAAAGATTAAACCTTATAGAGCAATTTAGAAATACTAAGACTATGAAGAAAGGAGATACACTATAAGTGAATAGATTTCTATACCCCTTCCCTCACTTGTATATAAGACAAACATCTATTCAGCCTTGTCATTATAGATGCTAGAGATAAAATACTAAATAAATGAAATGTAGAAGCAGCCATCACAGAATAGTCAGTCTCTCAGGACAGTGACACAGAGGCTCGCAACCTTCGAATGCAGCAACTCTTTAATGTAGAGTTGTGGTGACTCCAACACAAAATGACTAATGTTGCTATGTCATAACTGTAATTTTGTTACTGTGATGAGTTGTGATGTAAATATCTGTGTTTTCAGATGGTCTTGAATGAGCCCTGGGAAGAGGTCATTTGCCCCCCCCCCCAAGGGTCACGGCCCACAGGTTGAGAAACACAGCGCCAAGGACTCTCACCTTCTCAAAGGAGAAATATCCATGATGCAAACGAAAGATGGATGAGTTACCACCCTGACACAAAGGAGACAGACTATGTGCAGGAGAAGAGAACAGCAAACTTTGGAGTGTGGTCCCGACACACAAGAGTCGAGGGCTATCTGAACCCTGGATGGAAACACCAAGATAATGTTTCAGAGAGGTAGACACATTTGAAAGCCACTGGTGTGGGGAGTTAGGAGGTTTGGTGATATGTCAGATAAAGATATGGATGGGAAAAGAGTTCTCATGAACATGCTCATTTTCTGGTTTATAAAACTCAATATCCTGATAGCAGGGTACCCAAAAAAGAAGAAAATGATGAATGCTGAAGCGTTAATCTAATTAATCTCATCAATAAAATGTGTGGGCATGTTAACTTTGGGTGATCTTAAAAATCTCCAAGGGTAGATGTCAAATACACAGATTGATTCATAGCTTTGGAGCTCAGTCATGACTAAGAAGAGAAATCTATGATTCATGTTCTCAGAGGGGCCAAGAGAGCGCAGCTGTCTCAAGAACACACTTGAAGTACAGCCAGTAGAACTTGCTCAGAAGGAAAAAGCGATCTAAAGCACAGAAGCCAGACATGGCTTGGTTTGCCTCTTGAGTGGCAGGAAATAGGAACACCAGAAACATGTAGAACTCGGTGACATTTTGGACTTGTTCAATGTAAAGATTTCTGCAAACTGTCACTGGACAACATAGATTGTTCCGTTCATCAAATGAGGGCTTTCTTAGGGAAATGCCCCTCCCCCCCACACAACACCAAACAAACAAACAAACAAAAACAAAGAATGGAAGAAATGAAGGGTTGAGCAAAAGTTACAGAATCTAAGCCGATGAAGAAGGGAACATAGCAATAAAATGAGTTTGCTAACTCATAAACCAATGCTTTGCCCAGCCATCATCAGAGAAGCCTCCTCCTGCTTAGATGGAAACAACGGAGATTCACTCACAGCCAGACAATATGCATGTAAAGTGAGAGAGCTTGGAGCACTCACACTTAAAAGGTGTGTCTCCAGCAAATCCTTCTCTTCAGAGCTCAGCGAACCTTACAGAAGAGACGGTGGAAAGACTGAGAGTCGGAGGCCATGGAGGACATCAAGGAAACAAGAAAACGTAAACACAACAGGGCCAATGTAGATACTTTTTTTTTAAAATTTATTTATTATGCATACAATATTCTGTCTGCATGCATGCCTGAAGAGGGCACCAGACCTCATTATAGATGGCTGTGAGCCACCATGTGGTTGCTGGGAATTGAACTCAGGACCTTTGGAAGAGGAGGCAGTGCTCTTCACCACTGAGCCATCCCTCCAGCCCCCGCCAATGTAGATATTAATTCACTTAGAGACTGAGGCAGTATGAACAGGGCCTGCATGGATTTGTGCCAGATGGGTTCCCAGTGCTGAGAGGAGAAGCAGACACAGACGTGATCCTTAACTCAGAAGCTATCTTCAACTGGTAACCATTTGCAAATGAAAATTTCATGTTTTTTTTTTTTTTTTTTCCAACAGATTCTCTCTGGGAATACAAACCACTCTTACAGCCAGGTCCCATGCTCAGTAATAGATGGCCAACACAGAAGGAACGCAGTGATATCTATGGAGGTTTGTTTGTCTCATAATGCTTTCTTTTTAACTTTATAGGTCCTTTGTGTATGTATTATGGCTTCTGGTTTTGTGTTTTTATGGGATTCCGGTGTGTGTCAACATTTGTGTGTGTGCATCTATGTGTTTCTTATGCTGTTCTTTTTCTTCTGTTTGTGTTTGCTTGTCTCGCTTTGTCCTATTCTGAATTGTTTTTATTTTGTTTTATTAATATTCCTTAGATGCCTGTTTGTTTTCTAATGAGAAGTGGGAGGATCTTGGAGGAATTGGGGAAGGGGAAAACGTAGTCAGAATACATTGCCTAAAATACTATTTTCAATAAAATGAACAGTAAAAAGAATAAGGAAAAGAAGAGGGGAGAGGAGGACTGAGGAAAGGAATAGACAGCTGGTAGAAGTGGAAAGTAGATGAGACACAGCAGAGGTCAAATAACAGCCCTAGTTAAATAGGGAAGCCTTCAAGCTAGAAATGAAGTAAAAGTAAAGCTAATAGGTGATTTCAGAAACGAAGTGACCAGTGGGGATAACAAAGTCCCTGCTGTGGCTGTGTCAGTATGTGGCTTAGTGGAAGGAAGCTCTCTGGACCAGAGCAAGCAAAGGTTCCAAGGGTCATGAAGCTGGGCATATCCTCCATAACTGATGGAAGAGTGAGAGGAGGGGAGACAGGGCTCTGGGTGGGAGCAGGGAAGGAGACGGCTGTGTCATGGAAGACATGGCAGGAGTGTGGTAATTGATTAGTCTAAATGGCTGATTTAGGGTAAGAAACCCCTTTGAGAACACACACATTGACTCTGAGATCAAGGAGCAAATTATTTGTCTGAGGTGGTGCCAGATAAACACCACAGTCCTCACGCATTGTCTTGGTTGGGCATCAGATCTGACACAGGGCATTTGGGCCATGGTATTAACTGCTTCCTGAGGGTGGTGGTTTGAAAGAAAATGGCCCCAAAAGGGAATAGCACTACTAGGTGGTGTGGGCTTGTTGGAGGAAGTGTATCACTGTGGGGGTGGGCTTTGGGGTCTCTTTTGCTCAAGCTTCCCTCTGTGTGACAGACAGCTTCCTGTTGCCTATAAAGTGTAGCAGTCTCTGCTCCAGCACCATGTATGCTTGCATGCTGCTATGCTCCCCACCGTGATGATAATGAATCGAACCTTTGAAACTGTAAACAAATCACACCAATTAAATGTTTTCCTTATAAGTGTTGCCTTGGTCATGGTGTCTCTTGGCAGCAATAAAAACCTTAACCAAAATACTAAGACAGTTTTGGTTTTTGCTCTGAGACTCTCTAAACATCAATTGTATTCCTATCCCTGCTAGTCCTTGAACAACATACCTTAATCTTCCATGTTTATTTACCTCTACTTTTTTCAATGTAATATATTTATTTATTTTATATCCCAACCACAGCCCCCTCCTCCTTTTCCTTCTACTCCTCCCTTGGCCCCACCCCTCAATCAACCCCCTTCAGCATTCATTCAGAAAGGGACAAGCCTCCCATGGGCATCAGCAAAACTTGGCATATCAAGCTGCCATAAGATCAAGCACCTCCCCCTGTATTCAGACTGGGCTAGGAAATCAGCATTAGCAATAGGTACCCAAGAGCCAGGCAAAGCATCAAGGACAGCCCCAGATCCCACTGCCAGGAGTTCCACAAATAGACCCAGCTACGCAACTGTCACACATATGCAGAGGGCCTAGGCTCGCTGGTTGTTGGTTCGGACTCTGTGAGTTCCCATGAGCCAGGCTAGTGACTGTGGGTTTTCTTGTGTTGTCTCTGACTCCATTGGCTCCTCCTATCTCTCTTCCCTTTCTTCAGGAGGACTCACTAAGCTCAGCCCAAAGTTTGGACTTGGGTCTCTGACTAGGCCTCCAACAGACACTGGAGGAAGGTTCTTTGATGACAACTGGAGGAGGAGGCCTCCAATCCAATTATAGGGGATGGCCAATTCAGGCTATGCATTGACAGCTGCCGGGAGTCTTAGATGGGGTCATCCTTGTAGATTCCATAGTACTTTTCCTTGCATTAGATTTATGCCTGGCCTGGTGAAGCTCTGCTTCCCAGGCATCTCTTATAGTACTCTCTCCCTCCATGTACCGCCAACCTGCTCCCTCAAGATCCCACGCCCACCTGCACCCAGTCCACCCAGCAGATCTCCCTGCATTTACGCTTCCCAGGGAGATCCACGTAACCCCCCTTGAGCCCTCCTCGTTGCCCAGTTTTTTGGGGTCTGTGGATTGCAGCATGCTTATCCTTTACTTTACAGCTAACATCCACTTATGAGTGAGTATATATCATGTCCCTCTCTTAATCTTTCTTCTGAAGAGCTTTTGATGGCTTCCTCGGAAACTGATGATGACTTGCCTCCAGGCAGAATAAATGCCACAGGCTTTCTCCCTGTCTGCCTGTCAGATTTTTAGAATTTAAAGTTCCCTCCTCCCTTAGTGCATTCCCCAGATCACTCCATCCTTTGGCTCTCAGGGATATACTTCTTTCCCACCTTTACACTGGACTTTTCCAACAGAGTACTTTTTACTATGGCATTTGCGTTGTTGGTTGTGTGGCTATTTATTTAACATCTGGTTCTCCCATAGAATACACAGTTTATGGTGGAATACAGAAAACTTTATATTATTCATAACTGGTACTTTACCTCAAGTTGAGTGCTTGGCTCAACAAATATTTATTAACTAAATGAATATTCAAACAAGATACTATCGGGAATTTTTGAATCCTCTCTAAACTTAAAGGGAACAATATTCAAATGCATGCATAGTTTTCTCAAAAATTTTATTATTTTCCTTTAATCCATGATATGCCTTTTGCTCAGAGGGTTTGCATCCAAAATGAGAAAAAGACAAGAAGCGGTATTAAAGAATCATGACACTTTTCTAGGTTTGAATATCCTTTTTCCAACTGTCCAAATCACAAGAATTATGACTGTTTGGTTGAATTGTGTTCAGCTGAATTGTGTTCTGTTCCTGGTCTGTGCTTTTGTGTGACCAGTTTAACCTCACTATACTGAGCAAGGGCATTCTCCTTCAGTGTGTACCTGAGACAGCGTTCTGACGGCATCCTCCAGCAGGCTCCTCGCAGTCAGGCTTAGAAGTGTTCCAGAGAATCAGGGAGCATTCCAACTGGATTAAAAAGGATAAGAAAGAAAACTAAAGTGAGTCAAATACAAAGAGCATTTTAGGAGTTCACGACGCTGATGCTTCAGAACACCGAGAAGAGGTCTAGAGGACTTGAATGCTGACACTTCCCACCCTCTCACCGTGGTCCTTTAGCATGCTCTTGATGGCTTTCAACTTTCAGGCTTTTTACATTATCAGAGACTCAAGCAGAGAAAGGGCGATGTGTCTGAGACTCGATCAGAGCTGACTAAAGATTGAAAGGAAAAACACCACAAGGTCACTGGGAACAATGAAGATTTTATGAAATACAACTACAGTGGTCTGAATTAGAGATACCTGTCTGTGGAAATTGAGGTTTCGTTCCAAACATGACTAGTGAAATCAAATTTAAACCAAGCACCTGTCGAGTAAGTATATACTCAAGGAGCTGGCTTCTGAAAACTCATCAAACGAGCAACACATGGAGAGGATATACATGAGGACCTAATGAAAATGGTTCTCATGGCACCTTCAGGATTAGCATGTGAGAGCAGGTGTAGCTGTCAGGCTTGGAGCTCCTTGGCTGTGCACACTTCTCCTCCATCCTGGCTGCCCACCCTCGCCTTTGTAGTTAATCAGTGATGCAACTCCAAACAGAAAAATAAATTATTTGAACAGTTCTGGGACCTGGTCCATGACTGCATTTTACAATGCTCATTAGGGAGCCTCGCTCACATTTTGTAATACACCCAAGTGGCAAAATTAATTATAATCTGAATAAGTTAAATAGGCTTCCTTCTGTCTCAATTTTATTTTGAAAAGCAGCAGTCATAGGGTGAAAAAAAAAGGCTTATGAAAGAGATGTATTAAACTGTGTCTATTTCTTCTGGCTTGGATAATAAAATATTTGTCACCCAACTAAAATACAGCATTTATTATGTTATAAAGAAACCTGCACGATTGGTATGACTTTGAAATGCTTAATGCAATATATTGTGTGCTTAAGTGTTCCATTGTTACTGTGCATGAGTTGTTTCAAACATTTATTTCATACAATTGACCTTTCAGTTCTTTTGTTTTTAATTATTACTAATAGGTTATTCCTTCACTTGTTTCTAGTCAATGTTCTGACAAAAACTAAAGTGAACATCATTCTCGCTTGCTCCATCATGGGTGAGCAGCACAGACGGTCAGAATAATTCTAGGCACATGGCTTAATTAGCTGAGAGACTTGCTTAGCAACCTATTATTGCTACAGCTCCCCCTTAGAATGTGGGTTATAAGCTCGATAGTGTGATACCAAGCACAAACATAGATAAACACTTGAGTTTTGAAATGGAAAAGATTATCTATTAGAGGTGGGCAAAGAAATCCTACTCTTTTGAAAATTCCATATTTTTCAAAATACTTCTAGTGATACAGTAAATGGAGAAAGTAATTTTAAATATTAGAATAATTCACCATTAAAGGATATATCTAATTTGAAACATTTTAAACATTCATGGAAAAAATCATAAAATGAATTCAGTTCCCCGCTAGAGATACTTATTGTTTTTAAGTGGACACAATAAACTAGTTCTTCTCCAAAATTATATAAATATTATCACCTATTTTCTACATAGTTTAATTAAATGAACAAAACATTTAATGTGAGTCAAAATGAGTTAAAGATGTATCACCACAAAAAAGCTTTCTTACTATTTCCAATTAATATTATGTTTTCTATATATTATTTTCTACTTGCTATATATAATATACTGGTATAAAGTCAGATCTATGGGCAAACACATTTGTTTTATGGACAGTTTCACAGACAGGATGGTGAGCCGGAGGTGACATGTCCTTCCACAGCTTCTTTCTGCTTTTCCCCTGCTTGGAGCCTGGATTCCTTCCTAATCCATGGCTCTTAACTTCCCCATGAGCTCCAGAGACCTTGCACAGTCTTGTCTTCTTCCTCTTCAGCTCCGGATTCAGAGCTGGCCAGCTTGTTGGAAGATGGAAGCACAAGGATACAAAAACAGGGAGTTCTTGTTCTTCTGGAATCCAGCTCTTTGTGATCTCACCACACACATAGGCACACCTGGTACAACCTTCGGTGTGATGTTTTCTTGGAAGCACAAGAAGAGGCTTCTCTTGTCTGAACTGAGAGCTGTCACTTTGGAGGACTTTGTGGCCGCCTGCCACTGTGAGGCTCCAGGTAAAATGAAAGTGTTCTGACCCATCCCTAGTCAGGCTTTTCTGAGTTCTTTGTTCAGGTAGGTACATCCTTCACATCTCCTCAAGAGCTTTGTGATCAAGCACTAGACATGTGTCTTGGGAGAATTCATTGATGTCACAATAATTCAACAAAAAAAAATATGACTATGAAAGTTGTTAAGAAAGCATGTATTAAAATTCTGGTGTCATCTAATCAATTTCTTAGCTCAGCTTCAAAGATTTTTCAGAGGGATAAAGTGAATTTTCCTCCACAGTTTAGTTATTATACATGAACAAGGCAAGGAAAGAGATTAGAATTTTCCCCTGCAAAATATACCTCTTCAACACATGGATTATATTGAGCTAACAGTTGCTTAGAAGCTGCAGGTACAGGATAAGCTCTAAACATGGGATCCTTATTTTCCTTTTTTAAAGGAGATTTCCATTCAGAGATTGATTTGTGATGGGTCTCAGCATCCATGTGCCAAGTTCCTTTATGACAGTACCAATGTGAGCTACACAGTGATCGTCTCACCGATGATGAGTGTGTTGATGGATTTTTACTTTTGTTCCAGTTTTCTAAGGAAGCTAACATGGTATACTAATCATTTTTTATTCCATCTTAATCCTTAATAGTTTGAAAGGAGAAAAAAAAAGTCTGAGAGGAAGATCACAAGTGATCTTTTAACCACAGCCACTGCCAAACTACTTATAATAATGTCAATGCTAGGAAAATAGTTCTGCTATTTTATTGTTTAAGGAATAATGACAACAAAATATCTATATACATTTTTAAAATATTTTTTAATCTGAGGTCACTTGAATCCATGGATGCTGAACCCACATATAGAGAGGGCTAACTATAACAACACAAGTAGGGAGTGGTGAAATCAGGTCTCAAACCCAGCAGACTACACCATACTAAGTCCACGTTTTCCACCATAGCTAACACTAAAAATGGTACAGAGTCCAGGACACAGTTACCCTAAGGTGCTGAAAAGCCTCAAGATAGAAGAGTTAATAGTTATGGTAAGACATTTTTTTTATTGAGAATAAGAAAAAAAAGTTTCCGCCTCCTCCCAGCCTCCCATTTCCCTCCCCCCCCCACTCTTCTCCCCCTCCACCCACTCTTCTCCCCCTCCTTCTCCAATCCAAAGAGCAGTCATGGTTCCCTGCCCTGTGGAAAGTCCAAGGTCCTCCCCACTCCGTCCATGTCTAGGAAGGTGAACATCCAAACTGGCTAGGCTCCCACCAAGCCGGAACATGAAGTAGGATCAAAACCCCTTGCCATTGACCTTGGCTTCTCATCAGTCCTCATTGTTCGCCATGATCAGAGAGTCCGGTTTTATCCCATGCTTTTTCAGTCACAGTCCAGCTGGCCTTGGTGAGCTCCCAATAGATC